CACAGTGTTTACAGGCTTGTTAAATATTTAGTCTGTTACAAAATTCTGTCTTGTAGCCAACCACAGTTCTGCAGGGCCCGCATTGGCCCTGTTACTTGCTTCTTGAAATCAGCCAAGGCCTCAGGTCTTAAAGAGAAAGGGGAGAGGAACAGACTAGCTGTCAAGTTAAGCCCTGGCTTTCACTTTGCTCCCTGGTGCCTTTGTCCAGATTTCAATACATTCTCTGCTGGGCTGACAGGCCTATTAAGTAGAAACAGTTTTTTTCTCCAGAGATGACCTCCGTTTTCAACAGACCGAAGAGTTGTCTCCTGATTTAGCTGTTCAGAGTCATGTACACAGGTTTCCTGTGTTTTTGTGGCTTTTATTGTCATTCCCCATGCCTTAAATGTTGGCTTAACTGAAAACTGTATGAAAAGACCTGCCTCCCTATGTGCCTTTCTGTTAGCTTTCTCTCACTCAAGCTGTGGGACTCTTCTGTTCGTGTAATATATATTATATATATTTCCACGAGTGGAAAACAAAACATTAAAAGATGTTGTTTCCCTATTTCTGAAAAGGCTGTAAGTGTCTTAGTATTAATGATTTTTTCTTTGACTGTGTATCCATGGTTCTCAAGACCCATTTCTAAAATTTTGTTTCAGAAAGGGGATGAGAAACATACACTTAAAGGAACTTCTGGGCACTATTATACTGAGATGAGTCTGTCTACTGTTCATATCAGCATTTAGGCCAAGCAGTGTATCTATATTTTCTTGGTTAAACAGAGGAATATATTCTCATATCTTCTGGTCAAGAAAGTACCACACCCATTGACATGCAAAGAAATGACTGAAATATGCATGGTAATATTTTGGTTTACACAATGGTTATGGTGCTGATATGCTGTGGGTAGCTACTACTTTTTAATGGCATTGAATGGCAGCATTGAGGGGTGCCTGGGTGGCTCAGTGGGATTAGTACCCGACTCTTGATTTCAGCTCAGGTCATGATCTCAGGGTCATGAGATAAAGCCCCGCATTGGGCTCCATGCTGAGCATAGAGTCTGCTTGGGATTCTCTTTTTCCCTCTGCCCCTCCTCACTCATGCTCTCTCTCTCTCTTTCTCCAAAAAAAAAAAAAAAAAAAGAATGGCAGCACTGATATTTATAATATACCCACAGGAGCTTTATCTTTTGTAACAGATGATTTTGAGTGTGCTGTCCAGATATTATCTTGTCATTCACTCTTTCTATAAGCACCAGACCACTTATTATTATTAAAAGTGTTTGTGACCCATTTGCTGAGGGCATTCTGTGGTTTCTGGAGCACTTGACACATGAGGCAGGCAGGTGAGAAATTCCAGGAGTTAATATCTCGAGGAGCAGCTCTCAACCAATGATAGCAGGAATTGGGGGATGAGTACCCTAGGTGCCTTGTCCCTTGGGAACATTTTGAGACATGCTTTATGAAGTCTCACAGAAGTTCCCTGTGAGGGGGCGCCTGGGTGGCTCAGTTGTTAAACGCTTGCCTTTGGCTCGGGTCGTGATCCCAGGGTCCTGGGATCGAGCCCCACATCGGGCTCCCTGCTCTGTGGGAAGCCTGCTTCTCCCTCTCCCTCTGTTGCTCCCCCTGCTTGTGTTCCCCCTCTCACTGTCTCTCTCACTGTCAAATAAATAAAAAGATAAAAAATCTTTAAAAAGAAAAAAAAAAAGTCCCCAGTGGGAATAAGCCCCTGGTTCTCACAGGGGAAACCTTCCATCTGACTCATCCTGTACAGGCTTCCTTTTCTTTTTTCCTCACTTCTTCTACTGGTCCTTCCTGGGTTCACATCCCAAATAAACTACTTTCATTCAAATCCTTGTTTCAGGGTCTTATGGGGGAGCCCAAATCCAGCTTAAGTTGGCTGGGACAAAGATGACCTAAGAAGCAGATTCTCAACACCAGCATCTTGAACTGAATCATTCAACACCCAAGTGGTAGCAAGGACCCCCTTGCTGGTAAACAATGAAGTGGAACTAATCCCTAGCAAACTGTAGCACCATAATTACTAAGACTGTCATCAGGTGGATTGGGATAGAATATAGATGGAAAGAAAGTCTATTGCTCTTGTGTTCGAAAGACATGAGATTGGAGAGTCAGTTAACTTCCAGAAACTGTAGGAGGAAACCTTATAGTCTTGAGTCAGCCTACACTCATCTCAGGATGAGTGTTGTGTAAAAGCTTGAAGACCTCCACACAACAATCAAAATGATCTTCATTTCCTTCAGCTATAGGATAGAGGGGATGGCTGCTGAAAATCAGGCCTAAGATTTGATTTTAGGAGAAACAGACTTTTAAAGGAGACTGATTTCATGGAGCTAGCAAGTCTCCTCCACTAAAATCAGAATTCTTGCAGGAAAGGAGTCAGACACTGCAATATAGAAGGAGATATTTGGATAGATGCTCTTAGGAATCTTGACCCCAAAGATTCTTCTGAAACTGTGGTCCAGAAAAACAGGCCCTTACCCTTTCCTAGGGGAGAACAGCTACTTGCCACATCAGTGCTCCACCTGAGTAGGATGTTTTATAAGGTGATGCTTTTCCTTCTCAAGTTCTGCCCTCATTGCTTCTAGACAAATAACTCAGATCAAGTCTCAGTATGAACTGAGTAGAAAAATATCAAAGTTCTGTGTTGTAGGATGAAATGGATTATTAATCAAATGAACTACAGAGCCTGGCTAATAAGTACTGGTAGGAATCTGGAGAATGTTCCTGATTTGGTCTTGAGATGCAATCAGGGAGGACAGAATGTAGCACCAGATGATAGATAATCTATTTCTATGAGAGCACTCTTTAATGAGTTAATTTTTAACATTCTGGCAAGTGAACTTGGAGCTGATCCCAGTGTGCTACTAGAATAGCTCTTTGAAGCTTGGAAACAATGTTGGCCTAGAATAAATGATGTGGAGATGCCAGAACTACCTTGGCAAAGTATTAAAGGAGAGTTCCAAGGTCTCAGAGAGGTGGGCATATTATAATGTATTTATTTTGTAATGTCAGAGAAACTACCAGCTGATTATGTTCCTCAGGAAAGCCCAAAGACACTCCCTTCATGAATACAATAAGAAGTGTCCCCACAAGAGGGATACCAGCATCAATGAGAAGCTCCGTGGTGGCTCTTCTCTGTACCAGATTTGAGATTGTAAGTATGTTGCTGTGTTTCACTGGGAATGACACCAAAATGGTTAAGATTCACTATGTGGTATTCCTTTAACATGACGTTAGTAGGTTTAGTGCTGGGTCCTGGAGAGCTAGCATCAAAGGTGGAAGTGGGAGTGAAGCCTCCTACTCTCACCTTAAATAACCAAGGTAAGAAAGCAAGCTTTCCCTCATTACAACTCCAGGTTCTGCAGTGTCAGAGGTCTTGATAATTCTACCAGGGACACTGTAAAGGTTCGGCTAAATCTATAGCTTCAGCTGCTGCCTGATTATTTTTGGCTCCTCATGCCTACAGGCCTGTTGTTGGAGAAAGTGTTACAAGATGTTGTTGGAGAAGGTGTAACACCTTCTCCTCATAAGACCCTGAAACAACAATCAAGGCTAATTCATCCTGATTACCAAGAGGATAGGGTTGCTGCTAAATAATGAATGGGGAGGGATGAGTCTGGAAATCATGGGACTCATTGGGGTGCTTCTTGATGCTTTCATGCCTAGTGAGAACTGACAGAGCAATTGCTTTGATAACATCTTGATGAGGACATGTAACCAGGGATTCATACTCTCAGGAATAAAACTGAGTTATTGCCCCACACAGGACCCTAGCCTAGGAGCCTAGGTCCAGTTGGTCAGGGGAATGGAAGTGGTAAAGGAGGGAAATGCTGAATATCAATTATCATCTCAGGAATCCTAACTACAGCAGGGGAGATTGTAGCTTGTCCTACCAAACCTTTGTTATAAGTTCTCTATTTCTCTCTCTCTCGGAATTATGACCAAACTTCCCTAAAAAATCAGTGAAAGGACGGACTGAACTTAACATGCGGCATAAATGAATCTGAGAAGCAAGGCATGGACTTGGTGGACAATAGCGAGGAAATGCCCATGTCCCCTCAGCACGTGGCTTCCAATTGTCATCCCCTGCAACTCTACCAGAGAGCATTCTCCGGACGCATGGGGTGTATTTGTCTTTAATGCTGGACAGACCAGAGTGCCACAGAGATAGCACCTCCAGGAGCAGTCTCATCTGAGGCTGAAAAACAGAGAGGTAAGTCCTTAAGAGTCCTCCCCTCCTCAGGTGAGATAAATCTGAGGCTTACTCTATGAGCTCTCAGAGGTCCGCACTGGACTGAGGTAAAGTTTCATACAGTGGTGACTTGCTTGTTATCACAACCTTTTTGTTTCCTTTCCTGACCTACTTCTCTACTCCTCCGCCAGTGCTTCCAAGGATCATCTCCCAATTAAGAGATTCTCATTTTTAAAAACATTTTATTTATTTATTTATTTGAGAGAGAGAGAGAGAGAGAGAGAGGAGTGCAAGCAGAGGGAGGGAGAGGGACAAGCAGACTCCACGCTGACCGCAGAGCCCAACACGGGGCTGGATCTCACCTCCCTGAGATCATGACCTGAGCCGAAATCAAGTGTCGGTTGCTTAACTGACTGAGCCACCCAGATGCCCCAAGGGATTTTCATTTTTGATTGAGTTTCAACTGCTAATAGTTCTTAAAACATCAGATCATCCAGGCAGATATTTTCATTACCATGGAATCTCTCACTGTTTTTCTTTCTAAACGTCCACTGAAATGTGGTGTCTAGAATATGCATGGTAAGATCAGAACTGCCTTCTAACCCTAATCCACCACAGAATATTGTTATTTACAGTCTTTGAAATGAGAATACATTGATTTGATTCCCTTATTCCCTCAACAAATATTTACTGAACAATGACTATATTCCCAGCACTCGGTTAGGCACTTCTCTGGAGATATAAATGACTAAGTCGTGATCTCAGATCTTTTATTTTTTTCTGCAAGAGGATCCTATAATATTTAAAATATCTAATGCTTCACAGTTTTGCGTGTCATTCCTGCACAGACACTGCTAATCTTCTCTGTATTATTCCAATTTTAGTATATGTGCTGCTGAGGTGAGCACCATGTTCTTAGATCTTAAGGTAGGAACTCAAATACGTAAACAATTTACCACGTATCAAGACAGAAGTCAAATGTCCAAACCCAGATATCTCTTCCAAAAACATAAGTTGTTTTTAAATGCAGGGACTGCAGCTCCAGTTGTGTTTAAGGAAATAGAATATATGTGTCTACCATTCTCTTCCAAAACACCAGATCTAGCCGTACTAGACTATTTTATTCAGCTAGCATTTCCTGCTGTTTACAATATTCTTTGCCTTTTTTTGGCCTGGAAATCCTACCCATTCTTCAAGGATTGACATAATGGCACAGACTTGTAGCCTTGTAGGTCTCTATAAGTAATTCCAATCTCTTTCCACACTTGCTTAGCTCTTGACTATCATCACTCACATGCTGCATTATAGTGATATATATACTGTTATTTATAGAATACATACTATGGGACGGTCACTGATATGTAAGCTTTCCTTTATTATGTCATTTAATCCCCAAGACATGGAATTACTCATCTCCTCATTTTATATATGTAGAAATTGAAGGACAGAGATACTGAGCCACTTGCCAAAACTCACACAGCTATAGACTGAAAAGGCAAGGATTCCAACCCTGGGAGCCTAATCACAATGTCCCTGCTCTTAACTGTGATGCTAAATTGTCTCCTCTTAGATTTCTGGAGGGGGCAATGCTCTGAATACAGAGCACAATAGCCAGCCCATTGGAAATGCCAATAGAGCTTACCATATGCCAGACACTACTAAGCACCTCTCTTACCTACTGGGAGAGGTGATGTCCTCTTGTGATAATACATGAAAAACACTTAGCATAGCGCCTAAATAATTGATACATGTGGTTATTATGATACTATTCTGTCTGCTTAGTTATTTATTAAATCCAAGTAGTGGGAATAAAGCTGTCATATAAAAATGGCAGATATTTTTGGAAGTATCAAAATTGGGACAACAACAAATCTATAGAGATAGAAAGGAGATTTGTGGTTACCCAAGCTTAAGGGGATTAAGTGTGACTGTTAAAGGGTATAGGTTTTCTCCTATGGGTAGTGGTAATGATCTAAAATTGATTGTGGTGAGGCGCCTGGGTGGTTCAGTCTTTAAGCGGCTGCCTTCGGCTCAGGTCATGATCCCAGGGTCCTGGGATCGAGCCCCACATCGGGCTCCCTGCTTGGCGGGAAGTCTGCTTCTCCCTCTCCCATTCCCCCCGCTTGTGTTCCCTCTCTCGCTGTGTCTCTCTCTGTCAAATAAATAAATAAAATCTTTAAAAAATAAAATAAAATAAAATTGTGGTGATCCTCGCACAGCATTATGAATTTATAAAAATCCATTGAATGGTATACTTGAAATGGGTGAAATGTATGTTATGCAAATAAATAATAAAGTTGCTGTAAGAAAAAACTAGGGCCGTAGGAAAAAGCGGTGTGGGTTATCGTTTCCCCCAGTGCATTATCTTGACCCTCCATGGAGAATTGTCTTGCTGTTAGTTCCCGGGGAAGGAATCTCACGAGGTGCCCTTTACCACTGCTGGCATCTGCCAGGGTAGTCTTCGCTTCTGAATTCATGACTTGCTCTCTGATGTTGGAACTAGGGTTATACCTGGATTTGGATTCAGCCGCCCCTGAGCTGTTTGGGTCTGAAAATATCCTTTGTTTTCTGGGCTCCCTGGGCACAGAATATTCCCTAATATTAGAAAGGAGTGCAAGAAATCCCAGCAAAAAAGTCAGAGGTGCTGATGGACTAAGCTTAAGTAACTCTCAAAGATGAGGGCAAAATATGTCTGGGAAGTATATACACACCATCTCACTTGATAGGTCTGAAAATTTCTATTTCAACAAACCAACTTATTTTATTCAATTGTATTGATTTTTGGAATATTAATCCACAGGCCCAGGCCTTAGTATATTCCTAAGTGCAATGTACTCCTTGAAACCGTAATTAATGATAGACATAAGACTCTGGAATTCAAATTTCCAACTGGCCCCGATTATGCTTTCTATTAGAACAAAATGTTCTTACAAAAGGGCTTAAAGAAAGCTTATGAAAGTGTTTTTTTTCCAAATGTGAAATATCAAAGCATTCTATTGCTTCTAATACAATACACTGTTTTCTGTTTTTTTCTTGGACTGCACTTTTAAAAAGTTACTTTACACCAGATGTATAACATCAGTCAATTTGTATTTCCTGAACTGAATCAAACAGCTATCGAGTGACTGCTCTGAACAAGTTGCTGCAATTGGTGCGTTTAAGTAGATCCCATGTCAAGGTCTCTACTACAATGCATAGTGCTTACTCTATGTTAGTTTCTTTCCTTTCTCTGTGATAGTTGTTGTCACGGAAACATAAGGACTAAAAGTCATGGGTCCCTGCTCTTTAAGTTTTGCTATTTCCTTGGGGAGATGGGGATGGGTTAACAAGACAAGCAAAAGATATGGTTACGGATCAAAAAAAGGGACATTACTTTTTTTTTGAAAAAATTTTTTTAAAGATTTTATTCATTTAATTGACAGAGAGAGAGAGGGAACACAAGCGGGGGGAGTGGGAGAGGGAGAAGCAGGCTTCCCGCCGAGCAGGGAGCCCGATGCAGGGCTCGATCCCAGGACCCTGGGATCATGACCTGAGCCAAAGGCAGTCGCTTAACCAACTGAGCCACCCAGGCGCCCCCCAAAAAAGGGACATTTCTATCACTACTACATGACAGTCTTCATTTTTATTTTATTATTATAATAAATGTTAATAATTATGTATTGCTCAGGTCTTACAACTTTTCCAAACAAAATGCCATTTCATCATCATGATCTCCCTATGGAGGTGGCGGGTGATTTCACAATTTATGGATAAGAATACAGGATGACAGAGAACAATGGCCACATATATCAGATGATTCTGGATGGGATTTTTAGTCAATGTATCTGCCCTTTTGGCCACAGTGAGTTAATCAGAATACCTCATTCTTCCTCGCTAAAGTAACAGATCTAGGGGTGTGCTAGTGATTCAACTAAACCCCTCAAAGTTCTCTCTTCAGCCTTCCCCTCCAAAGCTTTAAGAAAGAGGGCCATGGGAAATGGTCATAATTTTCTCACACCACAGGACGTGTGACAATTAGGTGAGCACATGCCAATATGGATGAAGAGTCAAGAATGAGAGAAAGGAGGGCAGGAAGAAATGAAAACCTGATCTGAGTCCCTTAGCCCAGCTGTGCCTGAATCCTGGCTTAACCTTTAACTTGCATGATGCAATAAATTCCTCTTTGGTTTCTCTGTTCAGGGCAGATTGAGTTAATTTTCTGCCCCTTGTAACTCAGATGCCCCCAACTAATATGGCCACATGGTCATTAAAAGTGGAGCTAGTGAGGCTGAGCATCTTTTATGTGTCTGTTAGCCATCTGTATGTCTTCTTTTTTTTTTTAATTTTTTATTGTTATGTTAATCACCATATATTACATCATTTGTTTTGGTGTACTGTTCCATGATTCATTGTTCATAACACCCAGTGCTCCATGCAGAATGTGCCCACCTTAATACCCATCACCAGGCTAACCCATCCCCCTACCCTCCTCCCCTCTAGAACCCTCAGTTTGTTTTTCAGAGTCCATCATCTCTCCCGGTTCGTCTCCCCCTCTGACTTACTCCCCTTCATTCTTCCTCTCCTGCTATCTTCTTCTTTTTCTTTTTTCTTAAAATATGTTGCGTTATTTGTTTCAGAAGTACAGATCTGTGATTCAACAGTCTTGCACAATTCACAGTGCTCACCGTAGCACCTACCCTCCCCAATGTCTATCACCCAGCCACCCCATCCCTCCCACCCCCAACCACTCCAGTAACACTCAGTTTGTTCCTGAGATTAAGAATTCCTCATATCAGTGAGGTCATATGATACATGTCTTTCTCTGATTGACTTATTTCACTAAGCATAACACCCTCCAGTTCCATCCACGTCATTGCAAATGGCAAGATCTCATTCCTTTTGATGGCTGCATAATATTCCATTGTGTATATATACCACATCTTCTTTATCCATTCATCTGTCGATGGACATCTTGGCTCTTTCCACAGTTTGGCTATTGTGGACATTGCTGCTATAAACATTGGGGTGCACGTACCCCTGTATGTCTTCTTTAGAAAAATGTCCATTCAGGTCCTCTGCCATTTTTTAATTCGGATTATTTGTGTGGTTTTTGTGAGTTCATTTGTATAAGTTCTTTATATATTTTGGATATTAACCCCTTTTGGATATATCATTTGCAAATATCTTTTCACATTCAGTAGGCTGCCTTTTTGTTTTGTTGATGGCTTCCTTCACTGTGCAAAAGCTTTTTATTTTGATGTAGTCCCAATAATTTAATTTTTCTTTTGTTTCCCAAAGGAAACAAATCTAGAAAAATGTTTCTATGGCTGATGACAAAGAAATGACTGCCTATGTTTCCTTCTAGGAATTGCATGGTTTCAGGTCTTGAATTTAGGTCTTTAATCAATTTTGAGTTTATTTTTGGGTATGGTGTAAGAAAGTGGTCCAGTTTCATTCTTTTGCATGTAGCTGTCCAGTTTTCCCAGCATCATTTGTTGAGGAGACTTTTTTTCCATTGTATATTTTTGCTTCCTTTGTTGTAGATTCATTGACCATATAATCACGGGTTTATTTCTGGACTCTCTATTCTATTTCGATGATCTATGTGTCTATTTTTGTGCCAGTATATATTGTTTCGATTACTACAGCTTTGTAGTATATCTTGAAATCTGGGATTGTGATACCTCCAGCTTTGTTTTTCTTTCTTAAGATTGGTTTGGCTATTTATCACTAATTATCAGGGAAATGCAAATTAAAACCACAACAAGATGTCACTTTACATCTCTCAAAATGGCTAAAATAAAAAACACAAGAAACAACAAGTGTTGGCAAGGTCGTAGAGAACAAGGAATCCTCATGCACTATTGGTAGGAAGGCAAACTGGCATAGCCACTATGGAAAACAACATGTAGTTTCCTCAAAAAAAAAA